CACAAGAACAGAAAATCAAACACCGCATGTTCTCACTCATAGGTGGGTGTTGAACAATAAGAACACATGGACACATGTAGGGGAGCATCACACACTGGGGTTTGTCGGGAGGAAATAGGGGAGGGCCAGCAGGGGGTGGGGAGTTGGGGAGAGACAGCATTTGGGGAAATGCCAGACATAGGTGATGGGGAGGAAGGCAGGAAATCACACTGCCATGTGTGTATCTATTGCAACAATCTTGCATGTCCTTCACATGTACCCCAAAACCTAAAATGCAATATAAAATAAATAAATAAATAAATATATATATATATACATACACATATATGTGTATATTTAAAAAAAATAAAAATAAAATGTGTTTTGGAAAAGTGAAAAAAAAAAAAGGATTGTCATGTTTAAGGCAATGTTTTCCTTTCTTTCTGGAAAGATGCATCGTTTGTGGTTATGCTAAAGGGATTTTCCTTACTAAATCTGCTGACTCTAATATTTTATTTTTAATAACAGCAACATAAACAGCATTTACTACATGCCAACCCAAAAAGTATCATTACTTTTTTTAACACCAAAGCCCTAATAGATTAATTTGCCCAAAGTCATACAACTAGTTTGTCACAGAATGAGGATGAATCCAGGAAGTATGGTTCCAGAGTCTTGTGCTCTTATCACTTTTCTTTAGTTCATTTAATACTTTAGTTTTATCTCACATTTTTCAACTCTCAAAAAGTAGCTAACTTGCTGTTGGCCAAAATCCAAAAAAAAAAAGCATAAAATATTCATTATTTAAATTTCCAAAAACTTTAAGGAGTGTTATATTTTTCTCTGTAATTAAGAGTAGGTACAATTTATTTGCCAATCATGCCAGTGTAACATTTAGAGTGTGGATTAGGCACTGTAAGTAACAACATTCTAAATACTTAATTTTTAAAATAAGTTACTTTTTGGCAGTATTTAGCATATGTATTTAGTTTTGTATAGGAATATGCAAATCATCCTGGTGGGTATTTTTCTCGTAATCATCATCCAGTGTTCCTATCTTCCTTCCTAAGGTCTTTGATATTTGAGCCTTTAGGATATTCACAAAGGTCCTTTCTTGCTCTCTCTTCAATAAGACTATGATAGCCACACTTGTCTCCCTGCCTCTGGTCTTGCTCAACTTCGATCTAACATGAACAACATCATAAACGTGATCTTTCCACTACACAATGCTAAGGACTGCATTCCCACGATAAATAATTAGAAAAACTGTGCATTAATTGTAAGATAAAGCTGAAACTCTCCAGATTGAAAGGTCATTTATGACTGGTTCTGCTGACTCAATGGAGTGAATCCTAACTCTTTTTGGTTTTGTTCATTTTTGAGAACATAGTGAAGGATATGAATACTCTCTCCAGAAAAATGCACATATTCAATAGTTATCTCCCAGGTTTCTTGTTTCCCATAGATTTAGGAGCATAATTTTCTTTTATTATTTTCTGATTCATCTTGTTTACTAATGCTAGAGAAGAAATGACTATATCAGCCTATATTACTATTAAGCTCCTGGGAGAAGGGGAGACACATGCTTACTATTATTTATTTTTTGGTCCAGAAGCTTCAGAGAGGGTCTATTATAGCTGTACTCAATATATATCTGATAAACATAAATTATATCTATAATGCATCTAAATAAACAGAATAAGAAGTATATTCTTATACAATGACCTATCTGGCCATTGACTTTTACTTTAGATGATTTTCTACAGAGAAAGAAAAATAGACAAATCAAAACTCCCCTTCCATATAATACATTCAGTCCTGCTGTGTAGAATATTAAGACAAAGAAGGGAAGAGAAGAATTAGAAGACTGGAGGGAAGAGGATGAAGCCATTTTGAATAGTGTAAGTTACTACAGGTAAACAAAACCATAAATGGAAATAGAATAAAGATCAAATCACTTCCCCAATTTATATACCCACTATGAGATGCCTATACCACCTGTTTCCATTAAGAAAATTCTGAAGACTTTCTATTTTTCCATTAGTGAATACTGAATGCCTTTCATGTATCTTCATTTAGAAGTAATGTACATTCAGGAAACATATCTTGAGAAGTATATCATATGATAACTGAGGCAAGGAAGAACAGAAATATGCCATACTGGAGCAAGAAAGGGACTGTGAAGAGAAGAGATTCAAATCTAAGCTCCACTGTTCACTAGCTAAACAGTAAGGTTACTTAAATTCTATAAGTATCATTTTCCTTATCTTTAAAATATAAAGGGTAATATTTTGAAGGCTTGTAAAAATTCAACGAAGCCACTTACCTAATGGGCCTATCAATGTCTAGCATCCAATGGGTGCTCGATGATCAGTTAATGTTTTAATAGTGATCAAAAATTATAAATATCAGTCAAAATAACAATGTGATATAACAAATAATATGTGAAAAAGGGTGAAGAAATGTGTTAAGTAAAATAAGTATAATTAATTCATAGAATGAAGGGGTCACTACAAACTACAGCTTCCAGGATCATGAAGGAACTAGATGGCTATTAAAAGTGAGGATTAAAAGCATTGCCAAGAAGAAAGAACATTGTAAGTAAATGTGCAGAAACCTGAGAAGCTTGAGACATCTGAAGCCACAGGCAGAATTCTCTGAACTGAGGTCAAAGTTTAGGAAAAGAGAAAAACAGACTGCTTGCCCACGGTAAGGGCCTTGAATGCCAGGTGAAGAGATGGCTTCTGAAACTGGTCAGTCATTAGTCTAACCTATAGGTTTAATTCTGTTAAAAGTAAGGGAAATGATGTTGTATTTTTATGTGTGTAAACAATCATAAAAGTTTAAAAAGTAATGTCTAGTAAAATAATTCACATCATTAACACCTACTCAGTAATCTTTCCCTTTCCAATTGTACTGTAATAGCTACACGATACACCTTAAATATGTTTTGAAATTTCTCTTGGCACTTAGCCCTTTTTTTTAATATCAAGCAAAATATATTTGGCTGATTTCAAATATATTTTGGTTGCTATTTAAAAAATGGCTAAGTTCAGAGAGAAGACATTGGCCTATTATACCAGTGACCAAAAAGAGTTATAAAACAAAAAATTAATATACTTTTCATATATTATGGTACAGGATAATTTATGAAGGTAGTGGTTGAAAAAGCATAGTTTATGCACAAAAAAGAAATAAGTTATTTTCCTTATAAACTATTTCTTGTGAAACTAATAAACGAAAAATTATCTAAATGCATTCAGTATACATTAAAAAGGAAGCTTTCATTCAAAGATTGAGTCAGAAGAAATGTAAAGGCATACAAAATGAAAATACTATCCCTCAGCTCCTAAAAAGAACTAGCAGCAGAAATGAAAAGAAGAAATAACAAATGTAAAAAGAATAAAATGTAGACAATTAAATAAATAAATCTATAACAAAATGTGATCAATAAATAAGAAAGATACTCTGACAAAATTAAACATTTTTTGCAGATACTATCAATCTGGCTTTTAAGACTTTTATTTTAAAAGGTTAATCACTGAAATCTTACACTCCTATCTGCTCAATGAAGCTTAAAGCTTGAGAAAAACTAAACAATAAAATCTATAGTTACTAATACTACATATGGAATATTTTGTTAATTTCACTCAGCACCCAACACACTGATAGTTTAAATCATTTAAGAAAACGTTCTCCTCACTTCAATTTGCTCCTTTCTTCAAATCTGAAGTCCTTAACAAACTTTAAATTAAAAATGAAAAGTTTATTTATAAAGATGAATATGTATTTAATTATGTATGCTCTACTATAGAATAATGGTTTCCAGTCTTTTAAAGAATGAGACCCTTGTAACTATGAACAACTTTTTAAGACTCCCTGATGTGAGATATGTATACTTAGAATAGTACTATGAATTTTATAATGCTTTAAAAATATACACATTTCTCAAAAAGATTAGCATGTAAACAAGACAAACACATGTAGAGAAACAGCAGCTGATCTGCCCATGCATTTAAAGACTCCTTCCAATAATTTGATAGCCTTTTAGAGCTATAAGGACCACCTGAGTGGGAATCACTAATTCATAAGTCAATTTAGAAAAGATATAACCCATTCATGTTTGTTTAGTGCTTCACAGTTTACAATTGAGTTTTATGCCACTCTGAAAGATAGAGAGGGAAGGTATAAGAATTCTCATTTTACAAATACAAAGATCAAAATCTAGACAAACTAAGGAAAGGGGTCAAAGTTACGTAGCTTAGTAACAGATTTCTATTCGATAGCAGGTCTTATTACTAAATCAAATGTTTTTATTTCTTACAACGTATTCATCCAGTGAAGGAAGAATAGTGTAATAATTTCTGTGAAGTCAGCCTAACATACTCTAACCAACAATTCAGAGAGAGCAAAAAATGAATTCTGACTTGCACCGTTTTGGACTCTCCAAAAACTTGACTATAATTCTACACATTAATAATTAGTGTACTAAAACAGAAAGAATGAGAAAATGAGCTAAGATATGCTAAAGAGATAAGCCCACCTTAGCAAAGTGTCATGAATTAGGAAGACAACAAATTACCAAATATTGTAAAACCTTCAAGTTCTATTTTTCTTAAATATCACTTTGTACCTGTCATTTCTAAACTCATTAATCTAATAAGCCCAATTGTCTTATGAATTTCTTAATGATCTTAACAAGATCAGGTGTTTTAAAATACATTAGTACAATTCATTAATTAGTTAAGGGGTTAATTAGTTAAGGGGTAAGCTACTTCTAGAACATTAATAAGGTGACACAAAGACTGTGGGAAATATTAATAAAAGAGTGCTAAAAACTAAAAATAAAAAGTCAAAAATTAGAGATGAGATATTTGTTTCAAAACATATTATTTGGGATCTTAAAAGACTTCCATGATACTTTCTCAAGGTATGATATTAAAATGATGTCTCTTTCTTCTGTCTCATTCCAAACAACCATAAAACAGCAAATTAAAACAGTGATGAAACAAAACGCTTACAGGTTTGTATCTCAGTGCATCTCTGTAGGATCCAAACAAAGCAGCCTGTGCTCTAAGAAAGGCCCTAGCTACTCCATCACCCGTTGCTGTAGACTGCTTCTTCAGTTTATTTTTCAAGGCCGAGACCTGCGTGACAGAGAGGAACAGTTAAATTAACACCTCAGAAATTGGTACAGCGAGGTAGGAACCCAATCAGCAGGCAAACCACAGTGTCTGCAGGTCAGCCAAAAATTCATCCTCCTCCCTGATAGCTTATCTTTTTAACTGCAGAGAGCACCTGCTGATCTGTTAATTGAACCGAAAGCAGGAGAAGAGAGTAACGTGCTAATGCAAATTGGTTTATGCCCTCTTTTTTTCCCAAGGCCTCTTGACATAAATAAGCTTTAATTATTTTACAATAAACTGTTTGTGAGCCACTTTTCTGCAGATTTTTAGCAATTACAACATGTGTCTACTTGTTTTCAGATGAAGCAGGTTGGGTTTCGTTCGTTTTTTGCTATGTAAGGTTATTTGTTACAGGTCCTCCAGAACCACTTACCATTTAATTTTATTTTTGGAAGTCTCATTTGCATATGTAATTTTCCAGTCATTTGTTGAATAGTTTTTGTCATTATGAGATAAAAAAGAGGGAAGAGGAGATAAAATTATTGAAATTATACCATGAGTGGAGAATTTTATGCAAATTTTATACATTGTCTCATTTAATCTTCACAACAGTCTTCTAAGAAAAGCATTCATATTCCCATTAGTGAATGAAGAAATAGAGGAACAAAGATGCGAACTCATTTGCCCTTACTATGTAGTCAATAAGTGGCAAAGCTAGGAACTAACCACAGCTCTGTCCAGTTTTTTCCACTACCACGTGGTTTGAGTTCAATATCATTGCATCATGAACCAGTAATCAGATTAAAACACTAATGTTCCTAAATCAAAGAAAAATTTATTTAGAAATCTGCATAATTTAAAAAGGTATTTGTTTGTTGTAATTTTTCATACATTTTCTATCTTTTAATTTCAAGTGCTATATATTTTAGACAATGCTTATTATTTACGAACAGAATTTTAAATGAGATCATACTCCTGATATAAACTCTTATTTTTTTAAGGAGGAGGAAATATAAAATGTTCCTATGCATCCAATTCACTGTACCAATTCCTTTCATACAAAATAGAAAACTATATTCTGTACATTTAAAAATATTGGTTCTCATATATATTCATCAATGCTTAAAATGGAAACATGTTAAGTTGTATAACAATTCTGTTTTATTTAGAAAAAAACTGGTAAGACAAATTTTGGTTAGAATGCTCACTTAACAGAGCATATTCTTACCCTTATTAAACTATCATATAACAAAATAGTGTCATTTCTCCTTTTTATGTACATATGTGCATACATATATATACACACATACATACACATGCACATATACATATACACACACACACATATATATATATATATATATATGCAAGAAGGGAAATTTTTACTTCTTTATGCAAGTAGCCCTGACTTTGCTTGTAGACTATTGTAATTGAAGTGTCAACTTAATTAACAACTAAACTTTGAATAATGCTAATGAGAAATGAACACAGCATCAGAGAAAAGACCAGCTCTACAGGTGATAAACCTTCACAGTAGTGACATTTTCCAGTGTAAAGTCACAGTTACTGTGATCTGATCAAAGAAACAGATCCCCATTGGGTCCAATTATAACCACAGTTTTGAAAAAATTATTGAGTTATGTTCATAATCTATGCAGAAAGGCCTTTGCAGTATAGGTCTTCTCCCCAAAGCTGTGATCTTTTCAATTTACATCCAAGCTCCATAGATTCAGATAAAAGTTGAGAGCCTAATTTCATTTAGCCCACAAAGTGCATAAACCAGGATTCATTTAAAAAGGGTTTTTATTATTAAAATCTAAGCTCAATAAATGCATATTTAGGTAACCCACGTATTCAAACAATAATAATTACCAAAATAAATTAATGCCTTTATTCTGAAACTTTTAATGCTATTTTTAAGTTTCAAATGCCTTCAATAAAATAACAATGGGAGTGAATATCAACATACATATTCAATCACTATATCTACCCCCAAAAAAGATCATGATGTAAGAAATATGATGCCAGTCTTTTAAAAGTATTATTATACTTAAATAGTTGGTTTTAAAAGATTTTACTTTAGAAAATAAAAAAGTAAATAAAATACATCTTACATCTCTGCAAAAGAAAATTACTTAAAGTGTATTTTTTAAATAAAATAGGAAATTCACAACTCAATTCTCCACAAATCAAGAACACAATGTTCTCAGGACAATCACAACATGTATGCTCACTAAGAATACAGGCAAGTCAAGCCATTCCTCAGCCTTTATACCAAATCCTTGACTGCATAATTGCTGCTTAAGTTATACAGAAGTATTAAACACACTGCCACTACCACAAGCCATCCCGAACCAAATCATAAATATGCAGTCTTCACTTCCAAAACCAGTCAATGATAGTTCCTGAGCTCCCTGTGGGTGTGTAGAAAATAAGAAAAAGAAAGTACTTGTACTAGAACTATACCGGCCAATAAGGTAGCCATCAGTCATACATATACTTGATATTTGACTTGTCTCAACTGAGATTTGCCATAAGAGTAAAAAATGTAATTTTTATAAAAATATAATATATAACTTTTATATTGATTATATTTGGAAGCAATAATATTTGCATACAGGGTTAAATAAAATATACCATTAAAATTAATTTCACCTATTTCTTCTATTATTTAATGTGGCTACAAGAAAACACAATCATACACGTAGCTCACTTTTTTTTTTTTGGATAGTGTTATTCCACATGAATATGCTATCTAATTTCACACAGATTTTAAACTAAAATTGCCTGGCAAGAAATACAGTTACATTTCTCCTTTGCCTCCTTCCACATGATTTCAACTTTTGCAAACCATATGAAAAGAATTTTTCCTTGACCTATTCTAGTGAGCGTCAATTGTCAGTACAACTGAGGTTGTTTCTGTTCTTCAGAGACCAGAAGGGCAGCTAAGTGTTTCTACATGTGCAAATGAATGCTTAAAAATAGTCTGTAAAAATACAATTGTTTTTAAAAATCAGTTTTACATATAAGAATATTAGTATAATATAAAACGATTGCATCAACCTTGCTGTGTGTCTGGCCTTTATATCAATGGAGTAAATTATCACTAGTTACCAATGCCCTTTGCAGTGCTAATTAGCTTTTAGCACTTTTTATCTATAAAAATGATTGTGTCTGTCCTGCACTTTTTCAGTATCTGGTCTAGGAAAGAGTATTTTCTGCTTTAATTTCCAAACTTCTAAGTTTGGTTATAAAATAAACATACATCTTCCCATGAAATCCTAAGGCTTACACTCACACATAACTCTGAATTCAGAAAAGCATTTGGAACCTTAGTCATATGGCTATTATCACATAATCCTATTAATATTGAAAAAGTATCAATTGTTTTCTCTTTTTATTCTTAAGAAAGTAAACTAGCCTTAGCCTCCAATGTCTACAGATTACTTCACAAAGGACATTTTATCTTATTGTCTTTAGAGACTTTACGCTCTGTAAATACATTTTTTTAGTCTAATCTAGTATTAGGATAGATCACAAAGAGTTAAACAATGAAAATTCAGAAATAAACATCATTTCATTGCTCTTATCAAATGTTTTAAATTCCTTTGAGTGAGAATTCAGGCCTCCAAGCAGCCATCCATGGGCAGAATTATAATCCTGATTTTAGCACAGTGGGAATTCACTGTAGCATGCATAATATTACCACCAATTCTCCACTTTTACCCTCTTAGCACTAAAGTGACTATGAATAAAAGACAATTACATGAGTAAACATAGCAAACAGGTACACATTAGAAGAATGCAAGTCATGTGCACACAGTCTGAGTAATGAAGTAATTATACCAAAGGAGAGAAAGCCAGGAAGGCAGAGCATATAAGGGGACTGAGTTTTTCTGAGAAGTGGCAGATTTCTTACTTTACTTAACTTTTAGATGTGATTTCTAGATGTGTCTTTGCAGTAAAAATATATTAGCTGCTATACTTAGAAATTTTTACTTTTAATGATCACAAAGGGAAAGATCAGGGTAAAGGAGAGAAGATAAAAATAAGTGTTCCAAAATAATATTTAGAAAACCTACACGACCTAAAACACTCCGAAGATATTTTTAAATACTTCCTTTCACATAACTAAACTGATGGCAAGAGGGTGACAGCTTCCTTTTCTGTGTGTACTCTGTTCAGTTCCTTTAGAAAACGGATGCCCAGAGGACTCCCAACCCTGGTCTGGGGTCAGGAAACAGCCAGCGAGAGTTAGGGGCCTTAGCGCACAGAGCAGTTGTTCCCTTTAAGCCAACTCTGGCCCTGGCCCTTATTGCTTCCTCAACCCCCTGGGCCTCCCCAGTTCACACCTGCCCCCACCCTCCACTCAGCTGTCCTGCCGCAAACACTCCACCTTCCATTTTCCCCCACTACAGCAGCGCCTCCAGGCTTGTTGCTATAGAGCCTGCCTGTATGTCAATAAACAACAGCTGAAGCACCAAAAAAAAAAAAAAAAAGAAACTACATACATTTAGAAAAGTTAAACTGTCAGATAATCATTTGCTGTAGAACAAGGTTATAAAGTTAAAACCTTTTATTCTCCCATGAATCATGTTATCACACGAATTAGATAAAATCCCTAAACTTCTTTAGCCTTTCTAAAGTTCAGTTTATTAAGAAACAAAATTAACTCTTCTCTCTTAATAATTTTCTAACAAACCTCTATTTGAGGATTAAAACAGTAACCTTTTATTAAATGAAAAGCATATGATATACTTACCTACAGAGCGTATCATTACATTGCATCTTTGCATGTTTAAAGTACCTGTCAAATACTAACATGGCATCATCTACAACTATTTTCCTTTTAGAGGGACCTTAAAATTAAAATTAAGACAACCACCTCAGGCTCCACCTCAGGCTCCACCTCAGGCTCCATCTCAGGCCAGCATCACCTCCACTCATCAAGTTGCTCAAAAAGTACACTGCAGGTCCTCCTCAACACTTTACCCTTTCTCATCTCCCATACTAAATACATC